AACGGAAAAGAACGATTAACGACAATCGAGAGAAAGAGACAGCTAAAAAAGAAACTTAGAAGAAGAAGTAGAGAGAGAGACAGAGAAAACGGGTTTTTGATGATTAAGATCAAGGTCTTTAAAAGAATAGTGAATCTAATGAGTATAGATATATACATGACAAGACATGTGATTTCATTATCAGTCGTGCAACATAAGATAGAAAAAGACAGAAACATGAATTAAAAACAACACATACCTTTTGGCTTTTTGTCATTATCAGTGAGAGTTATCTGCCGACTTCATCATGAGTTAGTTCGTAATATGATGTATATGCTTTTTAGGTTTACGGCTGTATAGATATCTGACGATTATCTAAAATGACAACAACAGCATCGACGAACTTAAGTAAAGAATTAGATTATAAGGAAAAAGAAAAGAGAATGAAATTCTATCTAGATTGAACAGAATGTATTACAATATAAAGACAAATAAATCAATGAATTGCTGACAAATAATAACTCAAATGCAAAGTGATTGTTTTCATCTGTAATGTACAGCGGATGGAAAAAGTTTATTCTCTTTAGCTAATAAGGTCATTCATAATATAAGAAAATCTATAAGAACTCAATGAATCCTCTAAATAATATAACATGTATCAATCTATTTTGCGCTTTCTAGTTTTTCTCCTATAATAATAAACTATCGTATGAACTATAAAGAAGAAAAATACACTTTAGCATCTATAGATGAACAATGATACAATAATAATAGAAAAGTAGTAAGTGAAGCACTAATATATATTGTTTAACCTAATAATTTAGCTACTAGATATATTATACGCCTATCAGATAAAAATGGAGCAACTAGAAAGAAAATAATAAGAGTCTAACACATATATATATATATATATATATCTATTCTCGTCGTCTATTTCTTCAACTATTTTTGAAGATCGTAAATAACAACTAAAAATCGAACATTTTCTCGTTTTTTTTTTTTTTTACTTGCTCAAGTGGTTTGTCTATGCATTGCTCATGCACGCATAGAGAGGATAGATCGATATATGTATGTGAAGGCTGTTGTGATTACCACATACTACATACTATATACACACTCTCTCATCTTCCTGTAGTTGAATGCACATGAACGAGAAATAGTAGAAGTAGTTGTTGTTGCAGTAGTAGTAGACGAAAAAAGAAAAGTAATCCTATTCTTTTTTTTTTCATAAAGATTTCTTCTTTTTCTTACAGAATCACTAGTAAAAGTAAAGCAGGAAGAGAGCGTTCCGTTGTCATCTCTCTACATGTCATTTGAATTAGATACTTGCAGTTTGCGTGCTGTCATTGTGATTGTATATGTGAGAAAAACCCTTTTCTATGCATAGCATCGGCGAAACAAGTGCTCGATCATCGCACCAACAAGATAGATAGAAGGGGGAGGAAGACACGCGCATTGGTGCTCAAACAGATCCGCCTCTTGCTTGTTTCTATTTGATAAAAGAGAGAGAGAGAGAGACAAGGAGAAGAAAAAGAAGAGCGAAACATCGAGCGAGAGCAGATAACAACTGTGTATGCGTTTCAATGTTGATTGTATTATTCGCACCATCAACATCAACGAGTCGTAGCGGCTTTACAAGAACAGTAGCAAGAATTTCATATTATTAAATGACGACAACCATCTACAATACATTATATATAACGAAATCCATCGAGATTTGTTGCTGTCATGCATGTGTATGTTTTTTTAGAGAGAGAAAAAGAAGAGAGCGGGTGAAAAAGAAACCGCAATAAACAATCATCATTGAATCACTATAGAAAAAGAGAACGAAGAAAACTCATTGAAAAGAGTACTAGTAAGAGAAAAAAAATCTGATTTATCTGATTATTCACATATATATATATATATATATACAACCACTAAGATCGTAGTTCTATCTCGAGAGCATTATCAAACCTAGCTAGTAAAGAAAGACGAAGAAGAAGGAAAAAAACGATATGATCAAATACAGTGAGGCATAAAAAGTTCAAGAACATAAAATATGAGCAATGACGAGACAGATTTCTTTACGTATTTATTTTTGTGAAAAATAAATTGAAATCTTCACTATGACATTAATGATACAATTAAAAAAGAAGATGTCTTTTCAAAAAAAAAATTTAAGAAAATATGCTTGAAAATGAAATGAGTTTTCTACTTATATATTCTATAAGCTGAAGATGATTGACATTTTGTAATAAACCTAAATGATGATAAAAGAAAGAAATACAGCAACACTCGATATTCCCAGATGGACAACTATCATTATCAAGACAAACGGACGATAAATGTCGAGTTATTTTGACACAGCGTGCTTATATGATATCATCTTTCGTTTACTTATCAATGTCAGATGTCGCTGTACTTGAAAACATCTTCTAGTCTACCATCAAAAATGCAAGTTATCTATCAAATGAAGCACAACCCTCGATTATAATGTTAGGAAATATAGAAAGATATTGTATTTATATGCATGTCATTTTGCGTGACATTATTACTTTTATATTAACTAATTTAGTCCTAATATAGCAACTTAATCAATAAATTGAATCTTTCTCTTCGATTGTAACACGAACAACTAAATAATCCATCAATAGTGCATCTATTTCTTCGACTAAATTCATATCTGACATGTTTGTATATAATATCAACCAAATTCAGTACATCATAAACACATACCATATTTAAAAAAGAGATGACAACAGAAACATTCATTTATACTCCCCTAACTACAGTAACAATCCTAAGGAAAATCGTTGTTCATCATCAATGAAAATCGATAGAGAAAGAGAGAGAGAGAGAGAGAGAGAAAAAAAAATGATTTGGAGAAAGTCAAATATTTGTTGTGAACAAATACGGACACAGATGGAGTGAAGAGAATCTTTCTTTCTACTGATTTATCATGCGCATTTACTAGAGTGTATAGAGTATTGATGCCGGTAAGCAAATTGCAATCAACCGAACATCATTGACCGGCGCCTTACGCAAATGTGTGATAGAGCAAAGAAATATGACAGTTGTGGCACGCGGCAAGCAAAAAACTGACATGTGATTTGTTGTATTCATCGGTTCACTACCACTACAATAGATAATGACTATATATATACATATAATAACGCATATGTCGTAAAGAAAAAAACTGTTTTTTTTTACGTAAAGTGACAGAGACAAATTTATTTCTTTTTTTCAGTTCTATTTGACTTTAGTAATATACAATCGATTGGTGATAAGAAAGAATTCTATTTTGAATAATTTTTCTTTTTTTTTCTTTTACTTCGTCATCTTATTGCTGGTGATTAGATCTCAATGACAGGAAATGACGAGTTCCGCCTTTGCCTGGGCGCCCCCACTTTCTTGTCAGACACTCACAATCATGCATGCATGCCAGGCAAAAGTCGATTATGAATCACAAATAGGCTCAAGTGATCATCACGACAAGAGAGTGTGTGAGAAAGAAAGAAATACGGAATGAAATGAGCATACAAGTTAGTAAAGAGACCTACCTGACTAAAAAATTGGCAAATATAGGAGATTGTCTCACAATCACAAAGCACACACTGTAATAATCGTAGATGTAATAATGAGAGTATAGTTTTTTTTGATTGACAGTACAATGAAAAGAGATTGTAATAAGGGAAAAAAAGCAGAAGAAAGAGACAAGCAAGCAAGAAAGAAAAGGAGAAGATCATCGGTAGAAAAATGTTTATGATGATGATGATGATGGTGATGATCAGAAATCATCTCTTTCTCATTTCTCTCCTTGCCAAAGTTCATCGTTACCAAACGCATTCAGTCATTTAGTAATACATGAAGTTCATAGAAAGGGAAGAGAAAAACAGGCAGATACAGAGATGACAAGGTGTTTCCTTTCGGCCTTTACATGCGCACATTCCTATGCCACCGTTTGTTTCAGGATATATACATATCAGCCATAACAAACAGCAATATAGTCTATATATGTATATATATATATATATATACATGTATATGTATATATGCAAATATAAACAGAAAGGAAAACTATAATATAGCGTGTGAATGGCAGCATTGATATTTCTCTTTACTCTTTCTTTTATCCATCATAGAAAACAATCAAGATTCTACTAATATGAACGATAGATAACTGTTGTTACAACCACTGTTACGTCTACTGCTATGGATATTGTCTTGTTATAGTGAGTTTTTTCATCATATATACATATATACTGTAACATTTATAATGTGTCCATACTACTCACTTAATATGTATACAAAAAAAAAAGCAAGGGAAAGTGTTAGAGTGAGAGAAAGTAGTATAGTTATTGTCTCTTTTACTCTGTCTCTCTCTCTCTCCCGCTTTCTCTTTCTCTCTCTTTCTCTTATTTTTATCGTTGTTACGGTATCTACTTAAAAACAGGCAATGATCCTTCTTTTTCTCCTTCTCAAAATGCATCCTCATCACTATTGCTTTAGGCTAGTATTTTGTGTCTAACGTGTTAGTATATAGCGCAACTAATCGAAAGGCATTAGGGAAGGACGAGAGAAAGAAGAAGAAGAAGTACAAGAGGCAGAAGCATCGTTATTGTAGAAACAGAGAGAAGCAAAATCGAAACGAATCGATTAGGCAATATATAGCAAAAGAAAAGAAGAAGAAGAAGAATCTTCTTGCTTGTCGCTCTCGTATGTAAATAGAAATCAGTGGAAATGATTGTTTCCAAAAAAAAAAAAGGAGACAGAGAGAGCGAGAAAGAAGCAAGCAACACATCATAAGAGGAGAGTAGAAAAGAACTCAATATATAGTCTGCATATTTGATTGAACTCAATTGCTTTTGAAATCGATTCTATTATTTCTTATATACTTTTTAAATGATCAATACATAAAAGTAATTGATAACAATATAGTATTAATACACTGCTACAATTAAAAATAATATTCAAAATGTAAGATATTAGAAAAGAAAAGAAAAAAAAAGATATGTTCAATATTTATAGTTCATAATCGATTATTCAAGTTCGTTGTTATTGCGTGTTTGTGGATAGATAAATTCTTCCATACATAAATTAAATGTTTCACCATTGAGAAATCTACAAACAATTAAAAAAAAAAGAATAGTATTAGTCATATAAATATCAAATAATTGAATCTCATACGCTTCGTCTTGATTTATAATTGGCATGTTAGTGGATTGTCGTGTGAGACGAGATTTAATTCGATCTTCTTTTAATCTGGGCATGATACTACAACTGGGTGACCATGAAAGATAATTAATACTTTTATAATAATCAAGAAATGTTTTGGCTAAATTTCGACCTAATTGTTGATCTATAATGAAATTATAATAAAAGAAGAAGAATCTTAAAGATTAAAACTTAATTTACATTGTTATTAATCTTTTCTTATAGAAATCTTCTTATGATAAGTGTCTAACATGAATTCAATTAAGCATTGAAAAAATTTTTCTTTTCCTCTCTTTTTGAAAAAGCAATAAACCCTATATAATATAATATCTTTCCTTCTTATAGTTTTAATGAGTTCTTTTCAAGTATCAATAAAGAAAATATTTTTCTTACATAATTCTTCCGTATAAGGTATAGCTTGTGAATTAGTTGATGTTTGGTATGAAAAAAAAGAAACTTCTAATGTATAACAATGTGTACTTTCTTGTAAACAACCACCAAGTGTTCTAAAAATCTAATTTAATAATAAATATTCAATATAAAACGAAAACTAATCTCTTTTCTACCGTCTTCCTGTTCCAGCTTTAAATGCATCACGATTAAATGTTGTATTATTAATTGAAAAATCTTCTGCATTACGAGAAAATAATCGTGGGAAAATACCATGTTTTTCAAAACGATTAGTATCATCATAAACATTTCCATACATAAAACCATTCATCATAGTTGAATGTGCATGAATATCAATAAAAAAATCAAGTTCAAAATCCTAAGAAAAAGAAATAATTTTCTTTTCTGTTTTATAATCCTAAATTTTTTTACTAACTGCATCTTCATTTAAATTCATTATATGACTTTTAATTCCATAGATTTCAGGATGTGCCCAATGTGATGGTTCATTCCAAACACGATTAAGGTCAAAACCAAGTAATGAACATCTTATAGAAAAAAAAATTATCATATTAAAGAACAATTAATGTAGAAAACATATATTCTCATTGCACAAAAATTCAATTAATATATGCCAGAATTCATCAATCTATGAATCATTAGAGTTTACTAGAGAGGGGATTAGGGGGGTACAAACTTATTTGTTTTCATAAACAAAAGTAGCTTTGTCCCTATGAAGGCCGCCCCCCCCCCCTCCAGGAAACAGTTTCTGGTTGCATCCTTGGAGTTCACTATATCCTTTTTTTGTCAGAAATTCTCTTTGGATTCTGATGAATGTTGATCGATTTATTGGAATGTATATAAATCTATCGGAACTTACTTCAATCTACTAAATCCATTAGAACCCTATACAATTTATCAAATACCAATGAGCTTTACAATCAGATGCAATCAATATCGAAACCATCGTTCCTAATGGATTGCAAGTACTACAAAAATCCGTCATAAATGTGTCGGAATTCGTCAAGACTCATCAATACATCAATCTTCTTTCTTCACATTTCCTTCCTTATCGGAAACTTTAAGACCAATACCTCTTTTCGAGTTCTAATGAATATTGATAGATTTATTATAATATAGAAAAACTTTCTCAGAACTTATTTTAATCAATTAACTTCGTAAAAATCTGCTATAATATATATATATGTATGTGTAACAATCAATGAACTCTATAATAAATATAGAAGACACGAATCTTAATGATGTTAAGATTCACTTGAATATGTCACAACTCATTAAGATTCACTAATATGTTAATTTCCTGGACTTCTTCCTTTTCTTTTCTTCTTCACATCCTTCAAATCATATATAAAACTAACCTTTGATTACCAAGATAAACTCCATCTGGATTAAGCATAGGTACAATATAAAAAACAATATTATCTCGAAGTAATCTTGCTATTGGATGTTCACTTATAATAAAATCAATAAAACCTTGACAAACATAGGATGATGGAGTTTCACCTGGATGTACACGAGCTGTAACAATAACAGCTTTTTTTCGTTTTCCTTTAACTAATAATGATGGATTAGCAACTGTTAAAAGATCAAGTCGTCGTTTTTGCTAAAAAAAATATCACTATGAAAAAAAATATACAATAAATAAATATTGTTTTTTACCACACTAAAAACTAATGGTCGACGTTGAATATAATCTAATTGTCGTTGTTCAATATTATCAAGATAATTTTGAAGTTTTGTATATGTATATGGAAATGAATAAGCAAATTGATAAACATCATCTTCACGATCAAAACAAAATGTAAATGACATAACATAATTTTTTCGATGATCTGGACACCGATAATAAAATACATTTCGTGTTGGTAAACGTTGCCTATTAGAAATTTTAATTTTTCTTGTCTTCAAAAAAAAAAAACAGTTCATTTACCATCGTTTACGACTAGTTGATTTGACTAATGGTGTCATACCATCACGATATAATGATTTTGCTTTCGAAAAGTTCACAATATGAAAAATAACTCGCTAAGAAAAAAAAATATAAATTTTTTAATTTCATTTTCAAAACTATAAGCTTATTCTTTGATAATTATATTGATAGAGAATTTCGAATATAATCGTAAATAAGCTGTCTGTACAACAATTTAGAGCATTGAATATTCTATTTTTAGAATTAAAACTAATCGCTCATTAAAAATGTACTCATTACGATTTATATTTAATTAGAAAAATCTTAAACGATTCGAGCTTATGGTCATTGTATAAAATAATTGAATGTTAATTCCTTTTTTTTTCATCTTATAAGAATGGATCATAGTCTGAGAAATGAATACATATGATCTTATTTAGAATGTCACAAATCAATTAATATTAAAATTTGTCGATGGGAAAATGTTTGTAATCTATGTATACGAACTTGATCTGCTTTGACGTTTTCTACAGTGAATAAAAACCAACATCGAAATCGAGGAGAACATGTATCAGGTCGAATAAATAAATCATATTCATTATCATTAACATAATCAACTCGACCCAAATTTCCTTGAAAATAAAAATTTCTTCTTTAATAAAATTTTAATTATCGATAATAAACATACCACATTCGAAAGATGCATCGAATATTAAATGTCCTTTCTTTGGTTTTCCTTCATGATTAGGTGGAACAATAGCAATACGTTGTACATTTCCAATTAGATGATCATTATTTACATCTGATTCACTATCTGAAATTATGAATATTTCTATACAAAATAAATAAATTTACCGAGATTTTTTACCTGAATTATTATTATCACGTTTCTGTGCTGATGGTAGGCTTGGTTTACCATTATTTTCCGAAGACATTTTATTTCTAACTGAAGTTCAAAAAAAAACTTTTCAGTTCATTTATTTTTAAGGGTACTCAATCTCGTGCCCAATCACCTTATTCTTTTTACTCTATTTCGTAACAAAAAAAAGAAATTCAGCCATTTAGCAATCATATTCGATGATGTTGCTTAGCAAGTATAGTTTGTCTGCTGGCACCATCTATCTTAAAACTAATAAAAATTTAATCTATATTTTAAATTTAAAATATATTAATTTAATTCTGAGTTTCTTCTTGTAGATGCCTACGTACAGAACGCAAAAAACATATACTGTGTTTTTAGTATTGGTAGACGAACACGTACATTATAGGATCTTTTTAAAATCACTTTAGTCATCACGCGTCACTCTTTTAAAAATAGTTAGTTTTTGTTTTTTTTGACTCATATTTAATAACGACAAGACTACTTATATAACTAGTCTTATTCTAGAAATAGAAACGGAAGAGAAAAACATTGACCTCTTATTTATTCGTACTTGTGTTATACAGGTTGTGTAACATGTTAAATAATAAATAAATTGAAAAGATATGCTATATAAAGCAACTATTTTCTACCTATTCTTTACCGATAGAATCATTTCGTTTCTTTAGTTTAAAGTAAAATCACAAGTGGAAAAAAAATGGGTGATCAAGAAACGAAAAAATTATTCGAGCGTTTATCACAAACAGTAGTACCAACACATTATGATTTAACTATTCAACCATATGTTGATACATTTAAATTTAATGGTGAAGTCACTATTCATATACAGGTTAGAGAACCAACTGATACTGTGATATTATATGCAGCTGATTTACAAGTTGATAACGCAAAAATAGTATCAAAATCTAAAGGTAATTTTATAATAATGATTCATTTAAAAAATATTATTTTACAGATGAATTAAATGGTAAAATTGAACTTGATGAAGAAAATGAACGTTTAAAAATTAGTTTCGATAAGAAACTTGAAGTAAATTATATTTCACTATATAAATAAAATTATAATTTTTTTATTTTAGAAAAATGATTATCAATTATCCATGAAATTTGCTGGTGATATTACTAATCGTATGGTTGGTTTCTATCGAAATCAATATACGACACCTGATGGAACCGTTCGTTATGGTGCTAGTACACAATTTGAAGTAAAATTATTTTGAAAAAAAAACCAATTTGTATTATATTTGAAATTTATAGCCAGCAGATTGTCGACGTGCATTTCCATGTTGGGATGAACCAAATTTTAAAGCAACATTTGATATTACTTTAATTACACCAAAGGATCTTCGAGCAATTTCAAATATGGTTTGTAGATTTAATTACATCATAAGACAAAAAAATTTTCCTAAGTTACTCGTGATAGAAAAACAAAATTTTCTTATTGAGTAAATATTTACTGATATGATAATGGCTTATCTTGAATTATATTCGTGTCAAATATTTTTCTAAGGTCATTTCATAAACTATTACATAACATTAGCAGTTTTGAATGTACTTATCATTGTTCGCATATCTGTATTAATTTTGGAAAATGGGCAGTCGCTCACAGGGATAGATGTGGGTGAGGGCGTAATTCATTGTGGGCGTATTGCTTACCTCCATTCACTTAAATACCAACATTAAGATTAAAATTCGCGAGCAACTATCCTAACCCCAGTAATTTTATGGTTCGAATTTTTCTTTCCTATAAGTATGCGAATAAAATAATCAATATGATTAATAATAAGCTTACGTTAGGGATGCAACGGCGACGGTTAGTCACTGGTTCATCGTATGAATCGGTAACCGTTTCACTGATGGCCAGTCTAAATCGGTAAACGTTTCATCTTGAGGGCATGGGTGTGAGTGGGTGTGGGAGTAGGAGTCGGTGTGGGGTGGACGCTAGTGATAGATGAAATAAATACCCACACCTACACTCTCAAGATGGAACGGTTACCGTCACTGTTACATCCCTAGTTTACGTTATCCTACTTTAACTGGTATACTTCAGAATGAACTCATAGGATTTCTCTAAAAATGTAAACGTGAGTTTTTAATGAAAATAATGAGTTTTGTTTTTCTTATAGCCAATTAAATCGGAAAATGAATTTGCCGAAAATAAAGAATGGAAAGTAACAAAATTTGATCGTACACCAATTATGAGTACATATCTTGTTGCTTTTGTTATTGGTGAATATGATTATGTTGAAACAAAAGATTCAAATGGTGTTAGTATGAGAGTTTATACACCACTTGGTAAAAAAGAACATGGCAATTTTGCTTTGGAGACAGCGTCAAAAGTTTTACCTTTTTATGCTGAATATTTCAAAATTAAATATCCAATTGCAAAAGCTGATCAAATTGCTATACCTGATTTTGCTATGGGGTAAGAAAGAAATTTTTAATTTATTAGAAAAATTATTATTATTGTTGATTTTTAGAGCTATGGAAAATTGGGGTGTAAGTTAATATTGAATTTGCAATTAATTCTGTATTTTTTATTATATTATTTAGTTAGTTACATATCGTGAAACAGCTCTTTTAATTGATCCAAAATTATCCGCAATGAGTGCACGACAACGTGTTGCAATTGTTGTTGCTCATGAACTTGCCCATCAATGGTTTGGAAATTTAGTAACTATGGATTGGTGGACTGATTTATGTAAGATAAAATAATAAATATTTTTTTGTTTAGTTATATTGATTTTATTTTAGGGCTTAACGAAGGATTTGCTTCTTGGATTGAATATTTAGCTGTTGATAAATGTTATCCAGAATTTGATATTTGGACACAATTTGTTGCCGATGCATTTTCAGAATTTCTTACACCTGATGCATTAAAATCATCTCATCCAATTGAAATACCTATTGGTCATCCAGCTGAAATCGATGAAATTTTCGATGCTATATCATATCATAAAGGTTCATCTGTGATTCGTATGTTACATGATTATATTGGTGATGATGCTTTTCGAAAAGGACTTCATACTTATTTAACTGAATATAGTTATAAAAATACGATTACTTTAAATTTATGGTCACATTTAGCTAAAGCATCTGGTAAACCAGTAGCTGATGTTATGTCAACATGGACACTTCAAATGGTAAAGAGATTTTTCTTTCATCGAGATTAATAAAATATAAGTATTGTTCTGTATTCTATCATCTAGGGTTATCCACTTGTAACTGTACATGAAGAACAACAAGCCAATAAAACACGTACTATTAAATTGACCCAACAACGTTTTATTGCTGATGGTAGTTCCGATGATGATAATCTTCAATGGAAAATACCGATAACTATTTTTACCAAATCAAATCCAAAATCAATTGCAAAACAAATTCTAATGGATAAACCTGAAATGACGGTAACATTAGAAAATATTTCCGAAGATGATTGGATTAAATTAAATTATAATTCAATTGGTCTTTATCGTGTTAAATATGAACCAAAAACATTAGCACGTCTCAATGAACCAATTGCTAATAAAACACTTAGCCCACAAGATCGTCTTATGGTACAAAATGATGTTGCTGCTTTATGTAATGCTGGTCATCAATCATTTGTTGATTGTCTTAAATTATTATTATCTTATAAAGATGAAGATAATTTTACTGTCTGGAAATCTATTGGTAAAAGAAAAATAAACGAAATTAATTCATTCATTTGTATTTCTTGATTATTTTAGCATCGACCATTGGTGATTTATCATCATTAATTGAATATACTGAATATTTCAATCAATATAAAAAATATCGTTTAAATCTTTTTTCATCCATACAAAAAAAACTTGGTTGGAATGCAACAGCTAATGAAGATCCACTTGTCGCTATGTTACGTCCAATTATTTTAACTATTAGAGGTAAATCAGGTGATCAAGAAGTTATTGATGAAGCAAATAAACGTTTTCAACAACATGTTAATGGAAATTTAATTGATCCAAATATTCGTGGAGCTGTTTATAATATTGCTTCACGTTATGGAAACGAAAATACTCAAGAACAACTTCGAAAATTATATAAAGAAGCTGTTATGAACGAAGAAAAAAATCGTTTACTTAATGCAATGGGACAATCATCAAATCCAGCTATCATTGAAAGCACCTTACAATTTGTATTTGAAGGCGTATGTTTAATTCATTTTACACTTAGAATTATTCGTGTCTAATGTTTTTTTTATAGGATAATGTTCGAATGCAAGATATATATGTAGGTGTTATTGGTTGTGTATCATCTCGAATTGGTCGAGATATAGTTTGGAAATTTTTACAAAATAAATGGACAACGATTGTGGAACGTTATGGTGAAAAGAGCAGCTTTCTTACAACTTTTGTTGAAGTAAATATAAATCTTATTTATTTATTGCATTAAGTTAATTTCGTATTTTTGTATTTAGTGTTGCTTATCAGGTTTTGTTGATGATAAAACTGCATCGGAAATTCAATCATTTTTCGATTCAGCTAATACACCAATTGTAACACGTGCAGTAAAACAAGTTGTTGAAACTATACAAATGCGATCGAAAGTATTGAAACGTGATTCGAAAGCAATTGAAGAATATTTATCACAATATTGATTGACATACTTAAAAAGCAAAATAAATCATATATTATCTTTTTATCAACGTAGTTTTTATAGTAACATTCGATCTTTTTTTTGTCAAGTTTAAGTTTATGTTTAAAAAACATGTTAATCCAAAGAAATCTGATCAATAAACGAGAAAAATCATCTTTAGAATATTAATTTCATATCTATCAAGAAAACCTATCTGAAAATTTCGAATCTATAGCTTTTAAATGTTAATTGCGATATATTTTCTAATGAAATTATTTATTTTTCTCGTTGATCGAAAAAAAATGTTCATTATAGTTTCTTTTTTATATGTTCAAGATTTTTTCTCCATTGATGAAGGTTAGGATGATCGGATGGAAGTGATTGTTGTCCTATATCTACAGCACGTTCATAAAAAGAGCATGCTTTGGAAAATTTCTTTAAATTCTCATAGACCGATCCGATGTTGCCGTATGAAGAAGCCAAGTCGGGATGATCTGGAGGAAGAGTTTTCTGTTGAATTTCAGCAGCTTTTTCATAATATGAAAGTGCTTTTGAGTATTCTTCCATGTCGTTGTACACTTTACCTATGTCACTATAAGAAGAAGCCAAATCGGGATGATTTGCAGGAAGGCTTTTCTGTTGAATTTCAAGAGCGGTGTTATAAGATAAAAGTGCTTTTGGGAACTTTCTCATGTTGTTGTACACTAAACCGATTCTTTTATAACATAAAGCCAAATTAGGATGATTCGGAGGAAGATTTTTCTGTTGAATTTCAAGAGATTTTTTATAGAACTTTAATGCCTCGTCATATTCTCCTTGATTATATTTGACCAATCCGATTTGTTCGTAAATATATCCTTTTTCAGTATCATCATTTGTTTGTTCAAGTAGAGTTTCATATATTTTTCGAGCCTTGTCAGATTTACCCATTTTACATAGCAAGTGACCCAGTTTACACCATTCATTTTGATCTAAAGATATCTCTTCTCGTATACGATCTCCAACTATGGAAAGATCTTTGTCAGTGTCTGAAGTAAGTTCCATATCCACTTGAAATAGACGATTATTTTTTTCAATGGATTTTATAGTATGAATACGAAAAACTGTATTCATTGGGAAAATAATATCATCGGAATCATTATAATAGCTTACGTCTTTAACAGAAGCAAACGGTACTGATGATCGAGAAGCATTAATTGACATGGCAAACTGAATTCCAACTAAATCAGGAGTGTTCATGGCACGTTTAGCAAATTTTAAACAATCGTTATAGTTCATACTGGTAAATAAAAAATTATTAAATGACATAAGACCACCTTCATTTTTTTTCAAATGTTCGAAATCTTCTTTAGACATGCCTTGTCCACGATAGACCATAAAATGTTTATTAAACTGATTTTTATTAAGTTGTGTAGAATACAATTGTTGAATTTGACGATCGAGATCAGCAATGAAAAAGCCCATTTTAATGATCATATCCACATCCATGAGTCGAAGTGCACGATTAACCATAGGATATAAAAAACATTCACATGTATACCACCACAGAGGTGACTTCTTGTGATATTCTCGTTCAAATCTTTCTATATTATCTAGTTCATGATTATTCTTCCTGAATTGTTCACGACAGCAGTAAATAAATTCTTTCATATGTTCTTCACTGAATTTAATTGTTAATAAGATTTCTTTGAGAATTTGTGTGTACATGTATGATGAATCTAATTTATTTATAGTTTTATGTGTAAGATTTTCATTTGTGGTAATGAAGATATTTTGTTCTGATTCTTGTAAGACTTTTCTGAGGACATGGCAGATTGAGTCGACATCTGTACATACGGCTTTGATTTTGGACCAATCTTTAGCCCATTGTTCATGTCGTGTTTTATTTGCACAGAAGACAAAAATAGCATATACCTGAGACATGTTATGAACACGTGGTACAATTTGCTGACCGAGAGTCCCTGAAACAACCATACATATTTTGTCATCAGTCATACTTTGGATAAGTTGTAGACAATGACCATTATCAGTAGATATTTTGACATTATTAATAACGTTCCCCAGTTGAGTAACTACATTCTGGCTATATTTGGTCCTGGTATCAATATTACTGTCTAACCAAATTAAGAGAAACTCTTGCGCAACTGCACCTTTTGTACCACTCGATTTCCTAGTTAATAATAGTGATTTCATTTTATCCATTATTGATTATGCAAATGTTAACTTGAATAAATTACTATTACAACGATGTAAGAATGAATAAAATATACCTTATTTTATGAGATGTTTACTTCCTTTCTTTACCTTTCTCTGTTATCATATTTTTCTTTCTTTCTTTTTATTCTGCATACATACTTTTTTTACTTGCGGTGCAACGTGCTGGAATGAAAAAAAAACAAAAAAAAATCAACATAAACTTTCAGTCGTAACAAAATGAAAGAATAAAAATTATCGGAGAAAAGTTGTTATAACATACAACTTGAATAAAAACAGCCTATGGCATTGAATTTTTTTCGGCGATGAAAGAAACCTTGAAGATTTCTTTCTGTCGTGCTGAGATTAATATTCTTCAAAAAATATGTTGCGTATATATCTTAACTTTTGTTTTTAACTAAGAGAATATTCGTCGAACGAAATATTTTTCTCCTTACATTAATATGAAGCAAAGAAATCTCATACTATGTACAAACTATTAAAATTGATCTAAAGGTTTTATTTAGTCAATATATCGTAGTACAAGATGTGTCTTCCGAGCTTGTTGTTCTTCAAGATTCTTCTTTTTATGTAAATTTCGTTTATGACGAAGTTCACGACGTTCGTTGCGAGCTACATCAATACCAAAAATATACTTCAAAGTATCAAGAATAATCACAAAAAGATAAACAGCGACTATGCCAATAATTGCAATATATGAAAAACTTTTTGCAACGTATTGACGAATGACAAAACCAGCTGCTAAGTTTTCACAGTGACGTCCGGAACTACCATATAAACATTCACATTTATAATCGAGAAGAATTGGTCGACAGATGCCTTCGTTAAGACATGTGACATTTCTGTTACAATAACTAATCATATCTTGACAATGAATACCCATATATCCTTGACTACAATTACAGATAAAATCTGTCACATTCATTTCGATACACAAACCTAAAATGAAATAGTATTTGTTTTCGAAAGATTTAATAAACTAGTACCATTCTGCAAACATGTATTGACTTTACAAGGTTGAATATTAACATCGCAGTTAATACCAGTAAAACCTGACATACAGTTACAAGAGTAACCAAGACGCTGACTGGAATTATTGGTGCAATTGCTCATATCATAACATGGATCAATATCACACGGTTTCATTGAAATGTTACAAAAATCTCCAATATAATTTGAATCGTTGCAACTATATGGAGCAAAATAATTTGAGGATGATTTATTTGATATATAAGATAGAGAACTTGTTTCGACCGTTGTTGTTTCAAGTGACGTGATTAAATCTAGAAGATAAAAATAAGTTGTTTTAATTGCAACAATGAAATTGCTATTATATTTATTCTGATCAACTATGATATCTCTCTTGTTCTTTTCTCAACTTATTAGAATCAATCTTTATTCAATAGATTTACTATCCAATCCAGAAAATACGATTCTCTGATGAATATAAGTTTAAAATCACATATAAACTATTATTCTTTATACCCTTTCAAATTTTTCTCACGATCTAAAATTCTTTGCTGTGTATCGCATAGGATACTGCTGATAGTTTTTGTTATTTAAAACAATTTGATTAAACAGAATACCATAATTACCTGAGATAGTAGTAGGTGTACACCCTGACGATGAATTCAAATATGATAATACTTGAGTATCAGATTCGGATATCCAAGTATCATTAATCCACTGCCACCAATCATGATTTTCATTTTCGTGATAAACAGTTCCATTCCAATATACTAGCTGTATAACATTTGCAGTAGGTCCTGCTGTTAGTCCATCTTTGAAAACTGTGCTATTAGAAAAAATTGTCCACGTTGCATTATTTGCGTCAATAATAGTTTCATTTGTACCATTTCTAACAATCGCACCATTACAAGACTCTCCATTTACTAAAAAAATTAATTTTCTCAGAAAAAGTGTGATAATATGAAATCAGACATTGTATTAAATTTATTTTTATAATGAAGTTTCTTACTCTCAACTTAGCGATTGATAAACAATATTTAAGCAATGTCACTGGAATGTACAGAACACTTCTTGGTCTTTTGCTTTGTGCATAGCAATTTAAAGGTACATACATATGAAGTTAAGAGCGTATGACCATTCGATTATAAAACTACTTAAATCTCTGTGTTAGCAATTCATTTTTTCTATCTATTTAAAATATCGAACATATGTTTAGTCGCTGAAAAACTTCTACCATCAAAAAATACATAAAGAACTTGTGGTTGTTGCTGAACTGGTTTTTTTCGAGATTTAGTTTGAAGCCAGTTTAAGTATGATATTACTCAAACATCCTACCATGATAGTTAATGTTGAGATAAATCCACACAGTGGATAGTATCAGAATCTTGTGCTTTAGTATTTGAAACTAAAATTCGAGATAATATTGACATGGAAAGATGAAAAAATGCATCATACCATTTTTATTTGGCCAGTGATAAATTTCTATAAATGTTTCTTTGACAAATTTTATCACTCAATTAAATAGGTAATGTAAAATCGGAATGATTCTTATTCTTGTTTTTTTTGATTTACACAAGAATTGTGATCGGAATATTGATTTTTTTGTTCGAATACAAGGTAAAGATTTGTTGTGCTCCACATAAAATATGCAAAAATTAATTAATGTGTGATTATTGATTTTCTAAACGGAAAAATTCTAGAAAAAAAATGCACGTTAGCGTTGTATACACATATGATGAGAGTTAACAGTCTTTTCACTAGTTGACACTATTTTCATGATATATCACGCAAATACAAAAATAATTCTGAATATAAGAAAAATTCAAGGAATTAGAAATCATGTTTAGCTCCTATGATATAATCATGAACAAGTTTTAAATATTAAAGAACAATAATTGATTATAAATTCTATTTGTATATATGAGAACATTACGATAGAGTTTAAAAAGTGTACAATTGAGGTTCACTGAATTATTGATGATGATAAAGCAGAAAATAGTTTCACGTTTTTTTCCTACTCATCTTCTTGATGCTATCATTGTCAGAAACATATTTACTCTTCATCTACTCACATTCTGAGAAGCAAAAACGAGTTCGAGATTAAGAGACTTGAAGACACGAATGATTCGATTTACAATTACAAAAGTGTTTCTATGCTCAACTTTCTTAATCAAATAAAAACATTACAGTCTAATGTGATTTAAAGAAAGAAGAGCATGAAATCAGTTGATAACAGACAATAAATACTGACTAAATCGATCAAGATTTATATTATTGTAAATTAAAGATTGATAAATATAACGAGAGTAGTAATTTAAAGTCTACTATCGGCTCAAATATTTCGAAATCATTTCTGTGATTGTACTAGATTAGTCCTATAGATTTGCACCTTGTATATATAATTAAAGTCATTGTTATGTTCTGTAGCAAAAATGTAATTTAAAATATGTACAACTGATTCTAGAAATTATAATGAATATTTTGAATGATAGTGATAGATTAGATATTAACAAGCCATCCTGTAGGTTCAAATAAGAACAACTGAAATTATTCAAGTAAAACAAAAGCTTTATTTCTTGTATATAAGTTGAAGATTATATGTAAGACAAAACAAGTCTTAAATCTTGAATAAAACTAAAGATTTTATATTATTCTTATTTCTTCTTTGACTGAATATTATGTAGCAGGCATACGTCTTGCCTTGCATCTTCTCTTGGTAGCAGATCGTGAAGCTGTTGTCGATGGTAAAGTTGTTGTTGGTGCTAAAGTTGTTGTTGGTGCTAAAGTTGTTGTTGTTGGAGCATCAAAACATTTCTTAGTAGGATCAGCCTTTTTAACAGGGATAAGGTCACATGTACCATCAGCTAACTTGCAATCAGCGGGCAAACCAACAG